CCTGGGGGTTTATCTGGAACCTTTGGGCTTGTTGTTGACGTCTGTCGTTTCGTCTGCCTGTTGGGTTTGCGGCTTCGGCTTCGTCCGGAATTGTCTGACATTTTATGCTTCTTGACTGCATTGCATAGCGAATTTAGTGGGACATCAGCCAGATGCAAACGATCGAACCAATCAAGTCCCAAAAGATTTAAATCACTCTTGGTGACGTAGCAAATTCCTGTGAATTTGGTATTGCGGAAGGAAACAGAACATTTGAGTTCACCAATTAGTTTGAGCCGCCCACCACAGGCGCTCAGAAAAGTCTGGGAAGTATTTCCGATTGGTGGTCTGCCAATATTATTCCAAAGTTTTTCTGATATAACAGTAATATCAGAGGCGGTATCTAGCTGCAGACGTGCATCATGACCATTCATCTGAAGGTCAATATATTTCCGCATAGCTGGTGTTGTGACTTGACAGGTTGCGCGTAGACTCAATGATCTCCTTGGAGATTTAGGACCAACCGTTTGTCGAGCTTTTGCTGGATTTTGACATCTGGGTTTGCGTGGCTGACAAAAACCATTTTTATGACCGATGATTTTGCACTTGCTGCAACGATGATTTTTGTACGGACAAGACTTTACAAAGTGCCACGCGCCACAATGCCAGCATGGTGATGGTGGGGTCTTCTTTGCAGTATTTTGTGAAGTTGGACGAGTATGTGTAGATTTCCGCGGAACATTATGAGAAGGTGGGTCAGGAGTGGATGATGAGAGATTTTTGCTCTTTCGTAATGCACGAATATCAGAGCTTCTCGAAGGTGTTGATTCGACCAGGTGTGTGTCTTTCTGCAGATTAATCAGCCGTTGATATTCATCAGCTATGTCATGTAATGTTAACTTGGGATTTTGTTCTAGCTGATTGAGCAGTCGAGTTCGGATATCTGTGAAACGAGGAGATTGAAGACTGCATATGAGAATCAAGGCTTTGAACTGATCATCTGTTAAGGACCTGAGTCGAAATCTCTCACATTCTCGGTTGACTGTGCCAACGTGAGTAAGAAAATCATCATTTTCATTCATTGTCAGCTTGAGGCAACGATAACGTATGCTGAATAATGAGGAGTGGTCTCCAAAATGTTCACGCAGCAGCTTTATTGTATCATCGAAACACTTGTCACGTGGTTTCTGGGGTAAAATTAGGTTGCAGTACCGTTCATATTCTGCGGGACCCAATTTACGTAACAACACTCGCACCTTCCAAGCATCGTCTTGTGAGGCGAGATCAACAGTGAATAAATCCTCATAACGTTGATACCATGTGTCAAAAGTGACATTAGCATCTGGATTATAATTGAACTGTGAAATACTATTCACAATTCCGTCGACAGATGGTAGCATGGTATGGTTCGGATTGCTTGAAGGTGAAGCTGGACCAGTCTGTTGGTTGACGAACATTTCCATTAATTTCATTTGTTGTTCAAACAATAATTCCAATTTAGAAGGATCCATAGTTTTCCCCGTCGCCAAATTGTTATGTACTCGTCGCTAAATTATTGTTATGGTCTGGTCGAGAAACTAATAGTCCTGACGCAAAAAGGCGGAAATCAGAAGACCACTAGGTTTGCGATGATACTTCTATTTTCCAAACACAAGGAGAAGCAATAAGTGGTATCACACCAAAGTAAGTAACTAAGTCAGTCACACAAATTGTGAGAACGAAATATATATATATATATATCAAAATATAGCAGACATGTCAACAACCACCACATATGGATATATGTCACCAAGCAACAGACTGTCAACAAACACTCATATTATATATAATATAAGGGGAATATACGTTGTTAAAGGAGACAGGTTCATCAAAGTGAAATGGTCACAGACTAAGCGAGCAAACAGAAAGATAGATCACCATATATATATATGGATACATATCACTTTCCAGTCGTCACTTTCAAAGTGGCTTAATGCCTAAATAAAATAACAAATTCAAAACTGCTATCACGATCAAAGGTGAAATCAGTAGTATTATTACACATCCTATCCAATGTGAGGCATACTGTAAACAGACTACCTGGAATGATCAGATACTCAACAAAATTCAGCTAGGTGAAGGACTAGTTTCGAATATCCACTACAGTCCTACAGGAGGTCAATCGCGAGCCCGAATAGCTCAGTGGTAACGCCTCTGACTGCAGCACTGGGTGACGCGAGTTCGAATCTCAGAAGGGATATGAGTTCCTTCAAGGTTGCAGATACGTCTAAGGCTTCCTGTGGCCGATTGCCTCCAACCATCTAATAGGTGAAGATATTGTTACAAAAGAATATGCGCAACAGATCCGAAACCACCCAACTACATAACAAAATTCTATATTCCTATTAGTGTGGGTGCAAATAAACCGCGCACACTTATATAGGCACGACGATCACGAATATCGATCTTCACGTCGTCTCCCCATTTGGTTTGGGATATATATATGAGAAAGCACACTGCAAATTCCCTGTGCTTTTCGGACCAACATATATATATATATATATTCAATTTAAACTGAATTAGCATTTTGAAATAATAGAATTAGCATTTATTAATTCAGAGTAAAAATCTGGGAGGGAGTAGCTATGGGATCACCTATCTCACCAATAATAGCTGACAACATATTCATGGATTATTGGGAAGAGAATGCCCTTAAACCATTCAGATCATCACTAAAATCTTGGTGGAGATATGTAGACGATACACTAGTAATAGGAAAAAAAAACAATACTGAGAAACTTTTCTCACACATAAACAACCACGTAGACTCAATAAAATTCACTATGGAATTATAGAATGAAATTGGGGAACTGCCTATGTTAGACAGCGAACTACAAAGAATGACAGATGGTAGCATAAAAACAACGATATATAGAAAAACCACACACCCTGGAAGATTCTTTGATTATCACTCAGCTCATCCACTCATGGAAAAACGAGGAGGATTAATACATGCTCTTGCAGATAGAATACGTAGACTTACAACAACACCAGACGACCAGTATAAAGAAATAAAAGTCCTATTCAAAATGCTACTCGAAAACAACTACCCTAAAGAATTTATAAAAGATAATATAAGAAAGAGAAAAAAGAGGGTAAAACTGGAGAATAAGAAAATGGAAGAATGCAAAAAACATTCACAATACCACATGAAAACGGTACATCAGAGGCAGTTCAAAGAAATCTCAAAAATATCGGCATTCGAACAACGTTTAAACCGACGAATATAATCAAAAATAAAATAAATCCACTAAAAGATCCCATAAAAATGATGGATAAAAACAATTTGATTTACAAAATATATTTTGCTAACTGTCCGACTAAATATGTGGGTCAAACACGTCCAGATCACTCAAAATAAGACTGAATGAACAGGGATGTCCACTTTCCCCATTTCTGTTTAACTTCATCATAGATATGCTGATGGAAGTATCCTTAACTGAACGTAATGACTTAGGAATCGACTTGTTACCAGGGAATAGTCTTATGGACTTAGAATATGCAGATGACATAGTCCTGTTAGGGAAGGATGCTGACAAAATGCTGAGTCTTCTGAACACCTTGAGCAGCAATCTCCGTATGTTTGGCATGCGATTCGCCCCTACAAAATGTAAGATGCTGCTACAGGACTGGACTACGTCAACTCCTAACTTAGTGATAGGGAGTGAAGTGATAGAACATGTTGACCACTTCACCTATTTGGGAAGTTGTATTAGCACCAACGGACTGATTGGCGATGAAATCTCAGCACGGATCCGAAAAGTTCGAGCTGATTTCGCTGACTTACACCATCTCTGGCGTAGGCGTGACATCCGGTTATCAACCAAGGGACGTGTGTACTGCTCATCAGTTCGCTCCGTCCTTCTCTATGGCTCTGAAACATGGCCAATACGCGTTGAAGACATGAAAAGGTTGACTGCTTTCGATCATAGATGTCTGCGATCTCTGTCTCACGTTAGGTGGTTTAATAAGGTAAGTAATGTTGACGTTAGGCGTAGAGTGTTGAGCAAAGAGGGAAAATCAATCGACGAGGCTATAAAGTTACATAGACTAAGATGGCTAGGTCACGTGGTGCGCATGCCTAACCACCGCCTCCCCCGACGGGCATTACTAGCTGATATATGTGAAGGTTGGAAAGGAGCCAGTGTTGGCCAAACAAAAACATGGCCTCATCAATCCATGAAATCCTTGACAGTTAAACTGAGTCAGGTAGGGAGGTGCAGACTCCCGGGTTGGGGGCCTCGGGACTGACTGTAGGAACCAATGGCTGGAGACAATAGGTGACATGGCTCAAAATCGTTGTCAATGGCCAGCGCAGATGTATTCAGTCTCTGTAATCTTTCATATTCCTTTCTACCATTAGCCATTCTGTTTCACTCTTATACTTGTCAAACTCTATTGATTCTCTTCACTCATCTTCTTGTCTACCTCTGTGTGCTATTTGGAACGTGGCAACTCGAACTGGTGCACTTCGGTGCCAAGTTCTATGTTGAATCCAGACAGACAGACAGACAGATTGAACAGAAACGCCTAGCCAAAGGTCAACCAACAGGAAGGAACACAAGCTTACAAGAATCTTGAAAAAAATCATCGATAGCTGCACATGCATGCGAAAAAACCACAATATCGATTGGAACAATGTGTGTATTCCAAAAAAACTAACATGAACAAATGGAAAGAAAGACTTATAACAGAATCGATATTCATTAAAGTCACCCCGGATACATGTAACAAGGGTGACTCAGTACAACTATCAACAACTTGGAATATAATGAGCCAAAATATAATAATGAACTATATATTTATTTGAGTACAAATCATAAATGTGTCAGTTAAAACAATTCCAACAGTGGTGGAACACGGGCAGTAGTAATTTCGCTCGAAATATTACCAATAACAAAACTTGTCGTTGTGTGTAAACTGTTGAAATATAATTATACTTTATTTAAAAATCTGTACATTTTTATTGACGTGTCTGCATGTTAGACGCTATTCTCTTCATCCGTATCAGTTTCAGTTTTCAAAAGTATCGATTTATCTAAACAGATTTCGTCTTGCTGTGAATTTATATCGGTTGACTTATATTCCAGATTTATTGGAATATCTTTGACTTCGTTTAAATCACGTGAATATGAAGTGTTTTGATAAGAATTATGCATATTGTGGTTAGAAAACTTCAATAGTTCATATAGTCGGGCACTCTGCATAAGAAGGTTAGCGCTCATACGTAGAGATGTTGATAACAGACTTGTGATAGTAACAGCTGTTGATGGAATATTCAGGGGCGTTGTTAATGTTGATGTGAATGTTGTAGATGCTGTTATTTGTGAGATCGTAGGCATAAAATAACTGGTTACACCTGATGAACTGGTTACAGTCTAAAAAGTAAAGTAATATCTTTCCTACCTTTTGAAGCTTTAAGAACAAATTCGTCATAAAATTGATGATAAGGTTAGTTAATTGATGATAAGAATAGTAAACCTAAAACGCTATACACAATCTAATTTTCATCACATAATAAAAGCTAATTATAAAACATTTTTGTAAAAAAGAAACACCACTGACTGATATAAATAACTAGAGCCGATTCTCTTCAACCAGTTTATAGCTTCACAGGAAAATTACGATGGCCCAAACATTTGGAAATTATTTCATTTATTCTAAATAAAGCTTAGGAGATGAAGTAATAATAGCCTCTGGAAAACTACAAATAGAAGATATGAATAAAGATTACGAGTGGCCATTTTAATTATTGTATTTTATAAGTAAAAGCCTTTGAATTATCGTTTTCGGTTTTATCCGGGTATCTGCACACAGCTTTAACTTTATAACACTGTGGGGGCAGGGGGTGGCCTCAGTGGTGGCTGTAGACAGTGAAGGGAGTCGAAGGAAAACACCAAAGGCATATTAGTAGCAGATAGCGTACGTTAACTATTTCTGCTCATTACGAAAAAAGGACTCTAGAAATAAAGCAATAAGTGAAATTATCTCCGGAGAGGATGAAATTTTATTGACTTCCCCAGAGAAGTAGATGGCTAGAACATTGCGAACAATACTTCGAATAACAGATCAACTGACCTACATCACAGTTGTCTTTTGCATACAACATTAGCTTGAAGTAGATGTAATCAGCAGTCTTCCAACTGTAGACAATGAATGTGAAATCATGGTATTCAAGGATAATACTGATGAATTATTGACCGAAATATCGCCTAATGCATGGAATTCCAAGATATCATCGATCATTGATTGTCTCACTTTTCTTAAGGCCAGAAACAAAGCATTCCAAGATAATCACAAAACGACAGCTTTTATTAATGTAGCATAATCTTCTTATTTCCTCCACGTTCCCAGTGGAACATAGGGCTTCAAGCCTCCAGCTTGAAGTTTCTGTAGCAGTGGTGTTTATTTTTACAGGATGGGGTTGCTAACCACCCTCATATGCTCAACCTTCCCTCTTTACCAGTCTTATTACTGGCTAAGTGAGGTAAAGGAGTGCGGCGTCGGCCGGGGATCGAACCCCGAACCGTGGCGTGCATGGTCGGCAAGCATGCTAACCGCTGTATCACCGACGCACAATGTAGCATATAAGATTCTAGATTCCATGGTATGACTAAGTATGACTAAGTAAAGCGAGAGAACACTAGGAGAGCCTCAAAACTGGACAAGGGCACATTGGCACTGTATTTCTTAATGTTGTTTTTTTTTTGCTTTTTGATAAATGAAATATCAGCTTTAAGTGCACTGTGGTGGCGAATCAACTAGTTTGGTCACGATATTTCAAAGTAGACATAAAATTCAAATCACCGAAAATACCCATTGAGTCATGAAGAAAATAAAAGACAATTTCAGCGAAGAAAATTTTCTTTATCCACAAAATCATCTTCCGAGGCTAGCTGTGTACAGTTGTACTTATACTTACAAAAGTATATAGTTGTCTTTATAGTAGTCACCCCCTATTACTCAATAATAGATCACTATATATTTTTGTAAGTATAAAACGACTCTACAGCCTGTGAAGATAAAATTCAGTTTGCTTCAAAACAAAGAACTTGACACATGACATGGTTTACACACACACACACACCCTATGAGCAATCAGTGTATCCATGAAAGTCCTGCAGGCAGTCAATCAATTGTGCTTAGTGATAACGTCTATGAGTGCAGCACTTGGTGAAACCGGTTAGAATTTCAAAGAGGACGACGTCAGTTCCTTCGAGGTTTCAGATACTCTTTGCTGGTGGGTGTCAGGAAGCACGATACCGAAATCCACATATCTCTGCGACTGTCTCCAATCACCTAACATCAAATATAAATACCTTTATTGAGTATCACTTTCCGCAACCCTTAAGATTTTGATTCTAATGATTAGTAAAGTCATTTGTATTCCATTCCACTTGCAAGGCTTATTTCAGTTTGCTGCTTCACATCACAATTTCATGTTGCACATAGATGTTTTACTGAAAAGCGTAGACTAGTTGAGAGGATACTGTATATAAAAATTGTTGAAGGCATACTGTGGCGAATGATGAAATGAAACCTATGAAACATTTGTGAGTGATAAAGAGTGAATACATTTACGCTAAAAATCATGACTTCGTCATTAGCATTTAGAATATATTAAAGCGGTAGAATGGATGTACCAGAATAGACCGAAAGAACATCCCATATCAATATTTTTACGCACGCGCTTTTTGATAACTACTTTCTGAAGAAGTATGAAATTGTTTTGTAATGAACCTATAACGAGACGTTTCACTAGGCCCTGTAAAAAACATGATGGTACCCGTGTGTGTGTGTGTGCCAAAACCTTAAATTATTTTAATCAATTTAGATAATTTTATATTTAAATTGAAGAAAGAAATTCAACTGGGATGGGAATTTGTAATATTTCCCGATTTTCAGACACGTAGGGGTAACTACATTATGGATAAGATTTTATTTTGATAAATCATACACAACGTTTTGCAAAAAGTTGTGTAAGTGTGTGGTGATTGACAATTTCTATCTCTGTATTGTTTAAATACTTACTGTTGACTGTTAATATGTTTCTTATATGAATTGAATAATAATTCCGCTAAATACAAATTCCTGAATTCCGCCCTCTCTGTGTTTTGGTTGGATTCGTGTAATTCGGTCATCTCGAAATACTAATACTACAATTACAAATAATTACAACAGAGTGACTTGATATGATTATGAGCAATAATTTGTACTCGAAACGTCGTTAGTTAATATTACTGGAGCACAACAGTGTGATTTATCAAGATAAAATCTTATCCTTAATGCAGTTATGCTCTACCGTAGTGTCCAACTTCTATACTTATATCAATAATACATGAAGGTAACCATATGCAATAGTGCGTCGGTGGCACAGTGGTTAGGACTCTCGCCAACCAAGCACATGGTCCGGGGTTCGAGCACACACCGACGCACACCTGATATCTATGGTCGGCCTGCGAAATTTGGGCTACCGATATCCATGCTGAAAATTCCATACTTGTACCAAAAATACAGTGTGGAATCAAGCTGTAACCAAAAATAAAAAAAATAAAAAATAAAAAGAAATAGGGGCACACAATGAGCTAACTTTTCGCCGATTAATTTTAACTTTCTATTTTGATTTTTCCTGTCATTAATACCAAAATATGATTAATTTATGTTCAATTTTGCTTGTTTCATTTTCTGCAATGAAATTATCTGAAATTCAGATTACGATTAACATCAGCCCCAAGATATAATGAAAAATTATGTCGTCACTTTTGATTTATGTGTGTGTGTGTGAAGTGTTTAAATCACGACTGTGATAAAGTGTTTCAATAATACGAATGAACACTATCAAACGCCTACTGTAAAGTATTCTTTATCCTTATTTATTATTATATCCTTTAGTTCCTAGAGGAACATAGGGCTTCAGCTGCGCACCTCCATTGCCTTCTGTTTTTTGCCAATTTTTTCACTCCGCTCCAAGTCTGCCCACATGCTTTCATCTCCTCTTCACATGAACTCCTCCAAGTCACCCTTGCGTTGACGACCAACTCGCCGCCCGCTTCCCTTTCGGGTTCCACTCGAGCAACGGCTTGTCTAGTGATGTCACTTGATGGTTTCCTCAGAGTATGACCAATCCATCTCCATTTCTTCCTGCCTATTTGTTTCACAATCGGTTCCTGATTGGTTCGCCCCAGAGATCCCTGTTGCTGATCTTTTCTGGCCATATGATCTTGAGTATTGAGCGAAGACAACTGTGCGTCGGTGGCACAGTGGTTAGGACTCTCGCCAACCATGCACATGGTCCGGGGTTCGAGCCCACGCCGGCGCACACCTGATATCTATGGTCGGCCTGCAAAATTTGGGCTACCGATATCCATGCTGAAAATTCCATACTTGTACCAAAAATACAGTGTGGAATCAAGCTGTAAATAAAATAAAAATAAAAAATAATGAAGGTCTGAAGTTTGTTGGAGATGCTCTTTATGACGCGCTGGCCAAGTCTCTGATCCGTATAGTGAGTAGCACTGACTGATTTCACATTGGAGTTAAAAATCTGGATCTTATTTTTGATGGTGAGTGCTGTTGACTTCCACACAGACTTAAGAGTAATGAAAGCTTGCCTTGCTTTTCCGATTCTGGCTTTGATATCCTTCTTTATCCTTATAATAACGCAAAATATATGCTAAAGTCTTAGTGTGCGTAGACAGCTCATCAAAAAAGGAACACTAACGTATATTTACACTTCACACCATCAAATAACAATATGTCTGTTAACACTACTCACAAATGTTACATATTTCATAGCCAGAGCTATCATCAGAATAATTCAGGGCTCACCTCGGAAACAGTCTACCGATGTAATATGGTTGTAACTACATAATCATACACTATTCGAGGAAGAACTAGCTAAACGCATATCTGAGTTCGACAGCTGTGCTCACCCTGGAGAACCCTGGAAGAATATTCAGTCAGCTATAGATACAGCTGTAAAAGCTGTGAATAAGGCAAATCCAAAGGTGAGTAAAATCCACTGGATTTCAACTGCCTCATCCGAACTGATAGATGCTAGAAGACTTATTCCGGCGAGCTCCGAATTTAATGAGGAGCGAAAGCTGCACAAAAGGAAACTTACTAAAAGTCTCCGCAAGGACCGTGAACAGTGGTGGCTGACAAAGGCAAAAGAGGTGGAAAAAGCATCGACGATAGGCAACACTAGGCAACTCTTTAGACTCATCAGGGAAACGGGTGGGAGAAGGCAAATCATAAGTGAGACTATTCCGTGGATCGAAAGGTACTATGGCAATGTCTGACTGTGGAGTGCCAAGAAAGTACATTGCACTAATCAAGGCACTCTATTCAAACTCACTTAGTCGTGTAAGGGCTTATGGGGAATTGTCATCTGAATTGGTAACAACCAGTGGTGTCCGACAAGGATGTCCACTTTCCCCATTTCTGTTTAACTTCATCATAGATATGCTGATGGAAGTATCCTTAACTGAACGTAATGACTTAGGAATCGACTTGTTACCAGGGAATAGTCTTATGGACTTAGAATATGCAGATGACATAGTCCTGTTAGGGGAGGATGCTGACAAAATGCTGAGTCTTCTGAACACCTTGAGCAGCAAACTTCGTATGTTTGGCATGCGATTCGCCCCTACAAAATGTAAGATGCTGCTACAGGACTGGAATACATCAACTCCTAACTTAGTGATAGGGAGTGAAGTGATAGAACATGTTGACCACTTCACCTATTTGGGAAGTTGTATCAGCACCAACGGACTGATTGGCGACGAAATCTCAACACGGATGCAAAAAGCTCGAGCTGATTTTGCTGATTTACACCATCTCTGGCGTAGGCGTGACATCCAGCTGGCTATCAACCAAGGGAGGTGTGTACTGCTCAGCAGTTCGCTCCGTCCTTCTGTATGGCTCTGAAACATAGCAAATATGAGTTGAAGACATGAAAAGGTTGACTGCTTTCGATCATAGATGTCTGCGATCTCTGTCTCACGTTAGGTGGTTTAATAAGGTAAGTAATGTTGACGTTAGGCGTAGAGTGTTGGGCAAAGAGGGAAAATCAATCGACGAGGCTATAAAGTTACATAGACTAAGATGGCTAGGTCACGTGGTGCGCATGCCTAACCACCGCCTCCCCCGACGGGCATTACTGGCTGATATATGTGAAGGTTGGAAAGGAGCCAGTGGTGGCCAAACAAAAACATGGCCTCATCAATCCATGAAATCCTTGACAGTTAAACTGAGTCAGGTAGGGAGGTGCAGACTCCCGGGTTGGGGGCCTCGGGACTGACTCTAGGAATCAATGGCTGGAGACAATGGGTGACATGGCTCAAAATCGTTGTCAATGGCCAGCGCAGATGTATTCAGTCTCTCTAATCTTTCATATTCCTTTCTACCATTACCCATTCTGTTTCACTCTTATACTTGTCAAACTCTATTGATTCTCTTCACTCATCTTCTTGTCTACCTCTGTGTGCTATTTGGAACGTGGCAACTCGAACTGGTGCACTTCGGTGCCAAGTTCTATGTTGAATCCAGACAGACAGACAGACAGACATAAACATATATATATATATTTCACCTAAATGAAGACTGTAAGATGACTCAATATTTTGTTTTACCAGTATTTCTCACCACAGAAATTCAATTTATGGTACTCTCTTCAAAAACGGGTGCGCAGCAGGCTCACAATTAGATCAAAATTTTAATCAAGTTGTAACAGTACTACAAGTTCATGTAAGCGATGAAATCTAAAGGAAAATTTTTAGATAGGATAGACACTACCACCACCACTAGACAACTGAAATGAATTTATTCAGTTATTTTTTGTTTGTTTGTTTCCAAAACACTAAACAAAATTTAAAAAAAAAAACAAAAAAACAAACAAAATACTCAAAATAAAAAGCCGCCATCTCAGACAAATTAAATTACCTCCATTTCCAGTCCCAGTACTGTCGACCTTTGCATGCCTTCACATTTGTAATTACAGATATTGGTTTTCAGTACGCCTGACAAATCACGACATACAGTCTACAACTCAGAAAACACTTTAGTGTTAACCCCAGTTATAAGTCAGAGTATTTCGTTTGTTATGCCTTTTCTACATGAAGTAACTCACTGTTAAATCAAGGGGCTCTTCGGGTGCGTCCATATCTGTGTGGGGGAAAAATGCACATGGTGAGTTAACAGTTCTAAATATGACTACTACTGATTCATGATATTAATGCCGATACTTTATTACACCAGATTTCAAAGCCTTTCGGTTATAATATTTGAAACACCATAGGTATTAACAGTTTATTATTTGCAGATTAAGAGGTCTCAATGAAAGGTAAACAATCCACTTATCTCATCCTATGATCAACTGAAAAAATTGCATCAAAAAAGTACTCGAATACACATGGAAATTTTCATACATTTGGATATATACATATTTGTCCGTGTAATTTAAACAACTTATAAACAATATCGTTTGGTGTTTTTTGTTATTCATTGGTAAGTACAAAAACCTTTATTATAACTTACAAAGACATGAGTCTCATTTATAGCTGTGGACGACCGGACTGTCACTTACCGGTGGATAGTGGGATGCAGTGTGAAAATTGCAACCTATGGTTTCATAAAGTTTGCACTGGATTGTCACTATCAGCCTATAGGAGATGCACCAAGGCATCGTCTCCATGGGTGTGCAAATTTTATAGCAGCACGTTGGACTTCTTCATCCAATGGTCTATAGGACTTCTTATTTCCAAAAATTGACAAAAAATCTCAGGTGAGGAAAAGAGCCAGCATCTAGAACCGATGCCAGGAATGATGATTCTGGAATCAGTCATAAGACTAAGACAGAACCACATCCCAAAGCGAACGACACAAAAGAGGTACAGTGTGTCCAAACGTCTGCAACGGCACGCAAAATGTCCCAAAAGTCTAAGACGGCAAGTACTGCCAACATTGTAAAATCACTGGGCGGTACTATCACGACAAAGCGTTGCAAGTCTGGTGAATGGATAGCTTCCAACTGCGTCGAGATCAAAGTGCAAGTAACTATTTCAACTTCGTTAGTGCCAAAAAATAGGAAGCTAAAGAACTATAGGAAAGAGAAAAAACTGGGCTTAGTGATAAGGTTTCGACGGTTGTAAACACCAATACGATTGCGAAACCTTCGGACTCAGATTAAAGTATCGTAATTTGGAACTTGGAGGAGTCAAACAGAGTAGACCCAGATGCCTGACATGGTGATGATCTCGAGGTAATTAGCCTCATCATTCGTGAATTATTTCCTGAAGAAAGGAAAGTCATCAGAATCTGTAAACGAAATGCCTATGCAACGGAAAGTTCCCCACGACTGCTGAAGATAATACTGGGAACGAAATGGAGAAAAGTATTATCTCAGCAACGCATTGAAGATCAAGGACAAAAGATGAGAATTAGGCCTAACTGGCCTCTAAAAGATAGAATTAGGAGAAGAGAAGTCGTGGCTCAGTTAAAAGCCCGACTAGGAAATGGTGAAAAAGACCTTAAACTGTTGGGTTTTCGTCTCGAGAGGTCTTGAAAACCTATCTTACTTAAACTTCTGACGATTTTGTACTAAATTACCTCAGGACCTGGAGTAGTAGATATAGGTGTCTAACAATAGGTGACTAATGCTACACATATTAACTGGGATGAATTAACACCAAGTAACTTGTAGATTTGTTTCAACAGGGAACTCCTACTGACAGTGCTTGAATGCGCACTTGTGCAGCATATAGATGCACCAACACGATATAACTCGGAACATGATTCTTCCAGTCTAGACCTGGTGCTAACACACCAGAAGAAGGATGTCGGTCACATTAGGTGCCTGGCACCGCCAGGCAGTAGTGGCCATATAGTTATCACTTTTATGTTTAGGATTCACGCTGTTATACATAGGTCAACAGATGCTCGCCCAAACGTTTGGAGAGCGAATATACCTGCAATCCGAAATGCAGCGACCCTAGCTGACTGGTTCATTGATCCACACCAGACTGTTGAGGAAGCTTGGGTGGGATTTAGGAATACACTAGATTGAGTCATTGCACCCTTTGTACCCTGGTCTACACATCGAAAAAGATCGCATCAACCACCTTGGATGAGTAATGAAATAAGGAAGTTATTAAGAAAACGAAAGAATTTATGGGAACAGTTTACTGTAACTGGGATGGATAAGTTTCGGATGGAATACCGCGAAATTCGAAACCATTGTAATTATATGATTGACAAAAACCCTATATAGTATGACAGACAGTTAGTACTACATTGTATGCTTTATCCAAAAAGACTACTCGTACATCACACGTAGGACTAAAACTAGCAGTGGTATGCCGTCACTCACAATCAATACTGGAGAGGCGGCAGGGTCAGACGAAGCAATGGCTGAAAAGCTCTCGGAATACTTTTGCGTCTAATCGTACCACTCAGGGGTGCAGGGAGGTCACTGATATAGCCCCTAAAATAAACCCGATTGTGGTAGAGGATGCAGTGGTTCTCAAACTACCGTCTTAAACGAAGCCAGATAAATCACCTGGACCTGACGGATTTCACCCTGGACATCTAATCCCCTTCGCGGTGATTTTTCAAATGTCTCTGACCCAGACTAGGCTATCCAGGGATTGGAAAGATGCTTTTATAAGCCCCGTGTTTAAAGTGAGGAACAGGCAGTTAGTATCGAACTAACGGCCTGTAAGTCTGACCAGCATCATAGCAAGGGTATTAGAAACACTTATAAGGGATCAGCTCTTAGCTCAAATGGAGATATATGGCTTACTGGTAGTGGAACAGCACGGATTTCGACCAGGACAATCCTGTCTGACAAACTTACTGCTAGCTAGGGAAGATTGGGTTAAAGCCAGGGATAACAACAATCTATTGAATATTGTCTTTATCGATCTTGGTAGAGCATTGGTAAAGTATAAGGTATCTCATTTGGGTCTTCTTAGTAAACTCAAACGTTTTGGATTAAACCAACGCTTATGTGAGTGGTTTAGCGACTACCTGATGGATAGAAGGCAGAAGGTAAAGGTTAATGGTGTACTGTCAGGTTGGAAAGCAGTACTAAGGGGAGTAACTCAGGGAACTGCACTTGGCCCCCTGCTATTTCTATCATACATACATGAAGTGCCGAAAATTCTTACCTCATCTTCCTATTTGCGGACGATATTAAGAATATGGGAAAGTAAATAATAACGATGATAGGTCGGTACTACAAAACGACCTAGATAAATAAGTTGAATAGGCTACCCTCTGGAGTGTGGGAACTAATTCCAAGAAAAGCGCGGTAATTCACCTAGGTCAGAGGTATTACATGTCGTAATCCCTGGGAGACACAAAACGGCCAGATGTCAAGGGACAAAAGGACTTAGGAATCATTGTAAGCCATTACTTAAAAACAACAGCAAATTGTAATGGGATCGCAGCTAAGGCTTTTCGAAAGCTATGGGCACTTTGAAGGGCTTTCAAACGATTAGACGAGGGTACCCTATGCAAAATGTGAAACCACATCTAAAAAACTGCATACAAGCGGTAAGCTCGTGCGTCAAAAAGAAGGCACGTATCCTGGAAAGATTACGGAGGGTAGGGACCAAATTAGTTAGTGGTATCTCACACCTTCCTTATGAGATGGAGCATTTAAATCTCTTCCCATTATCATACCGAAGCAGGAGAGGCAACTTAATTTTGGCATACCGTATGTTAAAGGTTGATTAAGGGAATGTCTTTTTAAATCTTTTCTCTTCCTCTAAGATACCTTTACGAGGTCACAGCAAGAAGGTGCTCAAACCAAGGTTGAATAAAATTCGGTGGAATTCAGATTCTCTCACAGAGGGGTCAACGACTTGAACTCCCAACCTTATTCAGTAGCAACAGTTCCATTGGTGAACGCTTTCAAAGAAAAATAGAGCTCTGAGGAGATATATCGCAAGGATTAACACAGGCAACAATAGCCTTCTATCTCTATAGTCTGAATCATCTAGTTTAATGCACTCGGAATGAAGATACTTTGAAAGAAAGCAACAAAAGTTAGCATTTCCACTAATGTACCAAAAGTATTCATATTTCCTCACTTGTGACTTATTTATATTTCCCAAGCTTATAACAATTCTAAACTTGTTCTAACCTATTCTTCGATAATGCCTCTTTATGGTAAATGAGGATTTATCTATTCGCTATGTTCTGAAGTAACGCTGGTCGTGCTTAAAAAGAGAGCTGGCTGCTGAATTAAGTCTTTTCGTTCTGGAGTAACGCTAGTCCACGCTGAATATGTCCTATAAGGGATGAAACAACGCTGATAAGCAAACCCAATAGGTTCTGATCTACTACTGAAAACGCCTACAAAAAGAATACGGTGTTTAATTAGTGCCAGTCATGCTGAAAACCAGCATTGGGTTCTAGTCTGCGTTATTAAAGAATCCATTTACTCGCTATAGAACGTTAGAATAATTTCAGAATTGGTGAAATTTAATTCAGCATTACGGTAAGCGTTGTTAATTGTTGTGCGAAGTGCATTCATTACGTTTACTATTTTCCCCAGTTCACTAATAAAAACTGTTGGTTCGATGTGCACATAGAAGTATCTGCAGTATGCCCCAAGTTTATTGGACATATTAAGCGTGGACTTACGTTACTCCAGAACGAAAAGACTTAATTCAGCAGCCAGCTCTCTTTTTAAGCACGACCAGCGTTACTTCAGAACATAGCGAATAGATAAATCCTCATTTACCATAAAGAAGCATTATCGAAGAATAGGTTAGAATAATTTCAGAATTGTTGTAAAATATTTATGTACTAATTAGTACATAAATATTAGTATGTATACATAAATATAACATGTTAACATGTTAGTACATGTCTCACAATGCGATCCGTGCCCTTAGTTATTGACCGAAGTTATGCACCCGATTTTTTCGGTAGTTGGGAACGTCTTCATAAAGACGTTTTCTGCAGAAAATGTATTTTCTGTTCATGGACTCAGCAGCGTACAAATATCTTACTTGTTCGGTTGGTTTGTGGACTCACCATTTAAAAAAAACATGCATTTGAAAGAGAATTAAAGAAGAGTCTAAAGCCAATCAATATGACTACAAATACACACTAACACATAAAGGAACTTAAACATTAAAAACATTACCAAATGACATACTAATTCTATCTCGAAAATAGATATAGGCCTATTTTCGAGGATAAAAACCCTCAAGGTTACGGATACAATGTCCAATATGATGAAGAAAACAAAAGACGATTCCATTATTCATTATCTTTATTACAAGCTAGTGTAAGCCAGTTTGATTTCTTTGTACTCGCTTTGTAAATGTGAAGTAAAGGTTCCTGGTCTTCGGAAAACTTCTGCGTA